TTACAAGTTTCTAAATCGTTTAATTTTCTACCCCCGTGTCTTTTAAATAGGTCCTGCATAAACGTATCGCGGCAAGTAATAATATTATATTTACGCGAGCGAAGCAAAGCAGAGGAATAAAACGGATATTCGAAAATTAAGAGGTGGTGCGTTCTCAGACTCGCGAGGAAATCTGGCTGCAATGCTGGTGAAATCTATACTTCCTCTTGGCCACGTTTTACGCCTGGAACTCTCAAATAATAATACTGAATACAGAAATTTGTAATATAGAATATAGCACGAACGTCTATCCGTGCGGCCGACGACACATTTGCCGATTAATCGAACACACTTAACACATAAACTCGTTAATACGCCGTTGTTCAGGCATATATTCATCGCCACGGACGTACCTTCCGTCGTTCTTTCGTCGACCAGCGAAGCAAACGGAATTCGTTGTAATTCGTAAATAGTGGCAAACGCGAGAGAAACCGATGAGAATCGAGAGGGGCGTTGTACGACTTTCGTCCGGCCTCGCTCGAGTTTCGAGTGCATCGTGTGTCGCACTTTTCGAGGTCGGTGCATCGGGTACTTTTGCCGCTGCGCCGCAATGCGACACACCACTGAATCTACATTCCCATTTTCTCGCTTTGATAGCTCGCATCTTTCGCGACGGTTAGCCCTGCGTATGAATGCCATCCGTGTGGATGGTGACACGCTGAGCTAATATTTGCCTCATAACCAATAACCTTGTCAGCCGATATGCGGCAAGCAACGCGGCAAAACCGCTTACCGAAATTCAAAATCCGCATGCACATCGACGCGTGGCTTTTTACCCGGCTTTCACGCTCGTCTCGCGAAACACGTATGAATATGAATACGCGCGCACACACGACTTGAAGAATGTCCATCTATGCTAAACTTAGCCTGCTTACTTTTGCTTGCAATATCTCTTATTTTAACGACACTTGATATTTAATATTGAATTTCAATTAAACACGAAGGACAGGAGATCCTTTTCTCTCCAACTCTTGCCACTTGCCGACTCGAGTTGTCTAATTTCGAGCAATTTGAGACAGTATTATTTATGTTGTTTCGTCTGAGTTGAAGCATGCTTTCACTCTTCAAGCAAAGTTGAAGTGATTTCAACTATCCCTTAACTTGAAAGGAACACCAGTTGCTAGATTATGTAATGTTATTTTCGTGATATCCGGCTTTTTTTTCCTGATCTTTGCGCGTTCTCTCGTTCTTCTTCATTATACATATTTTCATTGTTATACACTCGTATAACCGTAATTGACATTTTTTTCAATTTAACGATTCGTCGTTGTTAAAGAAAAGGAAGAAACAATCGGCCGGATGAAACGATCAAAGTAACTCCTGAACGACGGAAATTTCCATTCGAATTCAAAGAAATCGTTGCGTTTGTGTAGACACGAAGCGATTCGTGGATCGTTGGAGAAGACAAGGGTGAAGATTTAAGGGTGTCATTCGCTGAATCGAGAACGCTTAGGTGGTATTGCACGAACGCGACACGCACGTTCTAAATTGGATGAAATACGACTTTCGATCCTTTACACGATAATGGAAAACTAGAAAACAGAAAAAAGAAAATAATTGAATGACGAACAAGAGGAAAGGAAAAGAAAAGGATTACATCTGTGTAATTAAATCACCAAGTTGCGGACCTCGTCGCTGAAAACAATTTTTGCTTATCTTGACGATGACATCAAGACATAGATGATCCTTCGCAACATTTGCCATTATGATTCATTGTTATTTAAAAAGTTTTAGGATACTCGTCACTTTTGTCACATCTTTTATCATATCTTCAATTTAATTTTGCACAAAAGAAATCCTTGGTTCTGGTGATCAAGCTCAACTGTTGTTCTTCTTCGAATTTCATTGAATTCCACCCTTTTAATTTAATTTATCCCAACGTTCTACAACCTTACGAGGTTGGATTAAAATGCAATTCCGTATACTTATTACTGCTTCGATTGTCACTTTATTGCCTGCATATCAGATCAAGTGCATAATCAATCTGCATCAATATCAAGGATATCGGATATTAAGGATTTCGACGTAAAGAATACTACGGGTAATAGGTGGCAAACCTACGGCGGGTGAAGATCATTAGCGGCATCAGGGAGCATTTTAACTGTAAAGATGATAGAATAATATCATTTGA